AAAAACGTATATTCTGATGCTGCTGGGTGAAATGTTTGGTAGATGTCTGTTAAGTCTAGTTGATCTATGCAGCTGTTTAGATCTGCGATTTCTCTGTTGAATTTTTGCCGAGTTGATCTATCTAGTGGGGAGAGTGGTGTGTTAAAATCCCCAACAATTAATGTCTTTGGATCTATATGGGATTTGAGGGAAAGTAGTGTTTCTTTGATAAATTTGGGTGCTCCATTGTTTGGCGAATAGATATTTAGAATTGTAATATCCTCCTGAAAGAGAGATCCTTTAATTAGTATGTAGCGACCTTCTTTATCTCTTCTCACGAATTTTAATTTGAAGTCTATTTTATCTGATATTAGGATTGCAACTCCCGCCTGTTTATGGGGTCCTTTTGCTTGGTAGATTTTGTTCCAGCCTTTAACATTGAAAATGTGTTTGTTTTTACGGGCAAGATGTGACTCCTGCAGGCAGCAGATAGAAGGGTCTTGTTTTTTAATCCAACTAGACAGTCTATGTCGCTTAATTGGAGAGTTCAGTCCGTTAACGTTAAGAGATAGGACTGAGAGGTATTTGGGAGTTCCTGCCATGTTATCTACCTTCTTGGGGGCTGCGAAAACTGGGTTCTTCCTATGGTTCTTGGATTCTCAGTTTGGGTGCAGTTTCTTGGCCTTTATTGCGGTCTTGTTGGTTTTCTATGTGTAGGACATCTTTAAGAATCTTTTGTAGGGCTGGTTTGGTGGAGATGTATTGTTTCAATTTTTCTTTGCTATGGAAGGTTTTTATTTGGCCTTCAGTTATGAAGGAGAGTTTAGCTGGGTACAGTATTCTTGGTTGATAGTTGTTTGTTTTTAGGGCATGGCATACATCATTCCAGGCTCTTCTTGCTTTGATTGTGTCTGCTGAGAAATCTGAGGTGATTCTAATTGGTTTCCCTTTATAGGTGATTACCCTTTTCTCCTTGATAGCTTTAAGGATCTTTTCCTTGTTCTGAGTTGATCCTGTGTGGATTATAATGTGACGGTGGGATGTCCTATTCTGGTCTGGTCTATTTGGGGTTCTAAAGGCTTCTTGTATCTGAACAGGCCTATCTTTTTGCATGTTTGGGAAGTTCTCTGCTAGGATCCTTTTAAACAAATTTCCTAGACCATTAACTTCTGTTTCTAGGTGCTGAGTTGGCTGTTCTTATGAGTCAGATGAATCAAATAAATAGTTCTGCAGAAGGACATATATAAACTACTTTTTTTTGTATGTGTGCAGGTCAGTCCTGGGGCTTGAACTTGGGGTCTGAAGGCCATCCCTACAAAAATGGTAGCCATTGCAATTATTATCATTCCGCTCCAAGTCCTTGTATGCCAGAAATGTATGCTGACTCAAGAATCGATAAAGTCTGGAGCTGGGGTTGGGTACCTGTGACCCACACCTTTAATTCTAGATAATCAGGAGACTAATATCTAGAAGATTTGCAGTTTGAAGCCAGCTACGGAAGAAAAGTCTGTGGAAATCCATTTCCAAAATAATCTGTAAAAAACAGGGCTGGGGTCATTATTCACAGGGTAGTGTACCTGCTAAGGAAGGGCTAGGCCTTCAGTTCTAACCTCAGTATCATAAAAAAAATGAGTTGAAAGATGTTGGAAATGAAGTGAAAAAATTTAAATAGCAAAGAGATTGAAGACAAGAAGTTAGGAGATTAAGTAAAAGAATTGTGTGTGGGGGAGGCGGGTAAAGCATAATTGTAAAACATGAAATAGAAGGCCTGGATTTGGAAGATTTCATGAATGAAGATCATCTATTTTGTTCATCTTTTTTTTATCCCAGTCCTGAGTCTTGAACTCAGGACCTAGGCACTGTCCCTGAGCTCCACTTCAGGTTTTTTTTTGCTCATTTGTTTGTTTTTGCTGTTAATTAAGAGTACAGACTTTCCTGCTTCAAACTACCATCCTCAAATTTCAGCCTCCTTGGTAGCTAGGATTACAGGTAGAAGCCACCAGTTCCCAACCGTTTACCCTCTTTTATAAAAATGTCTTACTAGGTGCCAGCTACTTCTTTCTTATACATCACTGCTTACCGCCCTCCCCCACCACAATACTCACAACTCCCTTCCTTATACCTTCTTAAAAATAAAAAGCAACTGTGTTGAGAATGAACTATACAACTTGAGGGTGGGGATGGGAGGGAAAAACTGAGAGAGAAGGTAAAAAAGAGGTGACATTGTTCAAAAAGTGATATACTTTTTACCTGAGATAAAATGGTGATCCCTCTGTATATCACCTTTATAATAACAAAAAACAAAAAGCAAAGCAAACCAACAACCAGAGTAAAGTCATTTTCCAGATAAGGATCAAGATGTTCCCTTCCCTCTAGCTTTCTTCCTCTCCCCATTTCCTTAGTTTATCTTGCTCTCTTCAAGATGAAATGGGAAGTGATTGAGAGACTATATTTTAGTGAATGGGGTTTTGATCACAATCCCCAAGAAATCTCCAGGGATGGCTTTTCAAACTAAAACCAATTTCACACCCAGTAGAAAACTCTACGTTTATGGAAGGGAAACCTAAATGAAAGCCTTCTAAAAAAAAAAGTCTTCCTAAAAAATGAGCTGGTTCTAAATACAGTGGCCCAATTGCTATCAAGGCCTCTTCTCTACCTTACAGCAAGAAATAAAAACAGGCTAGCTTTCTTGATAATACGTGTGTTATTTATCCAGAGCAACAATAGATACTCTGGCAGACATAAGTTTTCCTTTGTAACAACGTGTCTAATCCCACTGTGAATCTTAGTGCATGCTTATTTACTGCTAAAGTTTGAAAGACCAGGAGAGGTGAGAGTTGAGTAGTAACATGAGGTTTATACACACCCAGAGTAAGGATAATTCCATTTGTCTTTGTATATCTTTTTCTTATTAGCCGTTGGAGGTGATTCTTGGATCAGGAAACTAAGAGTCAAGGCTTCCCTGGTTAATACAGATGTATATTCTCTTTTCATCAAGGCCTGTTGGAAATACTTATGGGGAGTGCTCAGCAGAGAGAGCAGTGAACTTTATATGCCAAGACCCCCCGAAAGTTTACACACTGGATTACTAGCACCACCTCTCAGAAACCTTAGATTAATTTAAACTGGTTTTTTAAAAAAAATATTATCTTTAAGTAGCTGTACAAAGTAACTGCCCTTCTACAAAGTAGTTTATGAATATGACACATCTTGATCAGTGTCATCCCTTTCAACATTCTTACCCATCCCCTCCCAACCCACCCTTTACCTTACTTTTATTATTGCCATTTAACAAAGCAGTTTATGTAGGCAATGTATCTTGATCTGTGTCATCCCTTCAAAGTCTTTATGGAGTTTCTTCCTGGGTTTGAAATCTCGTGTTAACATTACATTCATGCCCTTCTTGCTTTGAATTTGATTAAAAGTACTAACTTAAAATGATAGCTAGGCTCACGCCTGTAATCTTAGCTATTGCTCAGGAGGCTAAGCTGTAAGAATCTCTGTTTGAAGCCAGCCCTGGCAGAAAAGTCCATGAGACTCTTATCTGAAATAAACCACCAAGAAGCCAGAAGTGGAGTTGTGGCTCAAGTGGTAGGACATCCTCCTTGAGTGAAAAAGTTAAAGGAGAGTGGCCAGGTAGGTCCTGAGTTCAAGACCCAGTACTGCACCCCCCCCCCCCCCCCAACACACACAAAACTGATGGGACTGGTCATTTAGTGATTAATGGTGCAATTGTTTATAGTAACATATGTGGATCCATCTCCAGTGTTTTTTCAAATCTAGTATTTTCTTTCTTCACTGATATTATGTACCTTATTTTGGTGCTTCTATCTGAACACCATGAACAGGCCCACAACTCTCCTCATTGACAGCAGTCATATTTCTTACTGAGAGAGAGGGTCACCCTATCTCACTTGACAATTAAGAAATAGCTAATGGCTGGACTGGGAAGGTGGCTCAGTGGTAGAGTGCTTGCCTTGCATGCCTGAGGCCCTGGGTTCAATTCCTCAGCACCATATAAGAAAAAAGAAAAAAGCCAGAAGTGGCGCTGTGGCTCAAGTGTAGAGCACTAGCCTTGAGCTGAAGAGCTGAGGGACAGGGCCCAGGCCCACAGTTCAGGCCCACAACCGGACCCCAAAAAAAATAGCTAATGGCAACTTGAGAAGTTGTTCAGTGCTGGTCTCTCATGTTACTGTGTCAGATTATTATTCATCTTTTTCTTAAAGTTCGTGCTAGAAAGTAGGACCAAATTCTTTAGTGTCTGCACAGTCGGTTTGAGGTGAAGCACTTAGCTAAGTGATTCAGATACTCTTTTCTTTGTCTTCTTATGCTAAAGGGCATTCAGATATTTGAAAGTGGCAAGGCAAAAAAAATGGGCCAAATTTACTTCAAATACATTCAATACTGATAAGATCTTTCTGTAAAAATTTAAAGATTATTTCTGTAGCTCTTGACTGTAATCCTAGCTACTCGGGAGCCTGAGAATAGAGGATTGAAATTTGAAGCCATCCTGCCCAAACAAATTGGAGAGATTATTATTTATAATTAGCCAGCAAACAGACAGAAGTGAAGGTGTTGCACAAGTTGTAGAGCACCAACCTTGAACAAAAAAGCTAAGGGACAGTGCCTAGGTGCTGAGTTCAAGTCCTGGTATCAGCATGCGCACACGCGCACGCACGCACGCACACACACACACACACACAATTAGTTCTCCCAAATGGAAGAAATAAACATGTATGGATGCAAATCACTCCTGTGTTAGTTTCTTACTACCTCATCAATGATATAAAAAAAAACCTAAGGATCTAAGTGATGACTTAATTTTGATTTTTTTGAATGCATGCCACCTACTATCCATAAAATAACCATCAGAAAAGGAAACCAATGTAGCTAACATCTGTCTGCATTTAAATGATTTTAAAATAAGTGCTTATATGAAAAATCATCATTTCTTGGTGTTGGGGCTGCTTAGGAACTAAGCAGATCACAAATAAGCTTCTTGCATTGATTTTCTGTGACAGGACTGGGAATTCCCACACTTCATGGGCGCCGTGGACGTGAACCTCCCCGGGCTGCACACTCCTCACATGCAGTTCAAGATCCCTTTCTTCCAGAAGATCTTCAAGGAAGAGTACCGTATTCACATAACAGGTCTGTTCTAGAACTCTTAATGCCATCTGATAATCTCCTGCCTAGGGTTTGCTGTCAGAATCAAACCGTGCTATTGGAGAAGTATGAGTTTAATTCTATCACTCACTTAGCGATGCAAGGTGCATCTTGGTTGACTGGGGACCTGGTGCTACCAGTCTGGGCTTCTAGCATCTTTGACAATCACAGGATTTCCACCCAGCAGGAAAATGGGAATAAGTCAGGCCCAGAGACACAGAGGATGAGTGTTTTCCTGTATATGTGAACGCTTGATTTAGCTTATGAAGTCATAAGTAAATACAATGGGTGGTGTGCAAGTGTATACATTTGTATTGACTCAAGTATGGTAAATTAGAGGGAGATCTCAAATAGTACAATTCCTTAGAAAGTCAAAATCAAAGTTCAGCAAAATAAAACACCAGGAATCAAGTACTTGAAAGGAGTAAGGTGGAGTTTGAGGAGAAAAGGGTAGATGAATGAAAAGGAGAAGAGGGGGAAAATGCAGACAGGAATCCAATGTATATCCTACAAATTAAGAAGAGTAATGGAAGGGGTGGGGTGGGGAGGAATGGCTGAGAATGTGGAAAGGGATGACATTGATCAAGATATATTGTATTTATAAACTGATTAACTCCTTTGTATAACTACTTAAGACAATAATTTTTTGCAAATAAGGGAAACCATGGGGTCTGGATTACTTCACTTAATATAATTTTTTTCCCAGTCTTTCCATTTCCTAGCAAATGGGTCAATGTCATTCTTTCTGATGGAGGCATAGAATTCCATTGTGTGTTTATATATATATATATATATGTAAAATATATATATGGAAAGAGAGAGGGACAAAGAGAGAGAGAGAGAGCACATTTTCTTGATCCATTCACATACTAAGGGGCATCTGGGTTGGTTCCATATCTTAGCTATGGTGAATAATGCTGTGATAAACACAGTTGTGCTAATAGCTTTAGTATGGCCTTGTTTGTGATTGTTTGAGTAAATGCCCAGAAGTGGGATTTATGGGTCACAGTGTAGCTCTACGTGTAGTCTTTTGAGGAACCTCCATACTGCTTTCCAAAGTGGTTGAACAAGTTTACACTCCCACCAACAATGAAGTAAGGTTCCTTTCTGTCCACATCCCCTCCAGCATCTATTGTTCTTAGGTTTCTTGATTATAGCCATTCTAACTAAGATAAGGTAGAATCGCACTGTTGTCTTGATTTGCATTTCTTTTATGGCCGAGAAGTTGAGCATTTCTTCATGCTATTGATCATTCTTATTTCCTATTCAGAGAAGTCTCTCTTTAAGTCTTTAGACCACTTATTAATAGGTGGTTGTTTCTTTGAGGATTTGTTGTTGGGGGGTTTAATTTTTTGAGTTCTAAGTATATTTTAGATATGAGAGCCTTTTCCAGACAAGCAGAAAGGTCAAAAGCTATGTACATATGACCATATAAAATGATGCTAACTAAAATGAATCCCAAGATAGGGACACAGAGGGTTTTTTCTTTGTCGCTGTTGTTTTTAATGTACTATGTGATTCTTTTGGATTCTTCTGTATGTTGTTTTCCTATGGTATAACCTCTGTTGTCACTGTATTTGATTCTGGTGCCCTGCATCTTGTATATACATTTTTCTAATTTGGGGAGGGGAAGGGAAATAACAAAATGCTGAAACAAGGATAGAGGTTGGCCCATTGTAACAATGGGACATACAAGACACTATGTTGACAACGAACTTTACAACTGTGGGGGAGGGAAGGGAGGAGTATGGGAGGTGGGGAGGGAAGAGATGGTAGGGGAAAAACAATGGAGGGGATAACAATGCTTGATAGGAAATATACTCACTACCTTACTCATGTAACTGTAACCCTTCTGACCAGTATCTTTACAATACTTTTTAAGACAATAATTTTAATTGAAAACAGGGAATGAAGAAGCCAAGCCCCAGTGGTTCAGGCTTGTAATCTTAGCTACTCATGAGGCTGAGGATCATAATTGGAAGCTAGCTTGAGCAGACAAATCAGAAACAGTCATCTCCAATAAACCAGAAAAAAAAAAAAAGCCAGAAGTGGAAGTGTGGCTGAAGAGAGAGTCAACCTTGAATGTAAAAGTCAAGTGAGATTGCAAAGCTCTGAATTCAATACTGTTACCAGCACATGCACAAAATAAAAGAGAATGGAGGAGAGATTAGAAATGAGTAGCAAGGATCCTCTGTTTCTTTTCTTTTTTTAGATAAACAGATTGAATTTATTTGAAAGATAGTAGCAAGACTACCCATCTGGAGAGGGTTCCAAAGAATAGTCCAGTAGAGTCCGCTCAGAGGGTGGTTATGATAAGATAGGGCTCCCTCATTTCTTTTCTGCTAGGCTCTGCACTGATAGATTGGTGGCTTGTCCATGCCCCACCTCTCTGGCTCTTTTTATTGGTTGAGTGGGCACCCAGGGCATTATGGGAAGAAGCATTTGAGCAGGAGCCTGGAGCACTATGGGAACAAGAAGTATCATCTTAGGCCACATGTTACCTATCCCATGTGAAGGACACCACTTTTTATCTCTGTCTATCTCACATCTTCACTTTCTGGCTTATCTGTGTCTTAACCACCTCGGCTGGACAAGAAACATGTCCAGTGTACTCATCTTCTGTTGGCAGCGTTGTAGATTACTCTACTTGGAGTGGATTTGTAGTTATTCCTGCTATATTCCATGGAGCACTCATCTTTGATCTTGCTTCTTGGGGCTTCTTTTCCATACCATATGTATATATTTTCACCATTAATACACTGTCGGCTTTATTGACTTGCTGCTGATATGAAAACAATGGTTATTTTCATGCTATATCCAGTCCACATAATGTAGGCAGTTAGAGCAGTTACCATTTGACTTCATAAAACCCACTTCTTTCTCTCATCCCAGGTGTGTCTCTCATGATTATTTGTAGATCTCCAGATTATTTTATTTTCAGGTACGTGCTGTTTTCAAAGTGACTAATGTATGATTTATTAAAATATTCTTTCATGGCACCAGTCACTCTCAGCTAAAAAAGAAATGATTACACTGCTTGTAGTTATGTCTTAGGTCTTTTCCTCCCTCCTTTCTAACCAGGAACAGACAGCTGGGTGATCACGGATAAAGGGTGGCATTCATTCCCAAGCTATTCGCTGTCTGCTGTAAGGAATAAGAGTGTGTGTGTTGTGTGTGTGTGTGTGTGTGAAGGACAATGGTTTCAGATTCCACACCTGCTATAATAAAAACTGCCAGAGAAATCTGTGCTTACACTACCGTCTGTGCAGCCTTATAAAAATAGCCTCAGCACAGAAAATATTAACATCTCAGTACTGAAAAACACACACACACACCACTTTGCTTCCCAGCTAGGAGGGCTGATTTTCTCTCTTCTTTTTCTTTCTTTCTTCCTCTCTCTTTCTTTTCCTTCTTTCGTTCTTTCTTTCTTTCCTCCTTCCTTCCTTCCTTCCTTCCTTTCTCTTTTTTTCTGAGCATGAGACAACCTTTCTAAATGAGAGAATGAGCTCATGAATAGGGAAGATGTGGCAGCAGCAAGTTTTCTCTCCCTTTTCCAAATGAACCGAGGCCCATCTATTAAATTCACTGGGTAAATCAATTCATTTGAGTTCAGGTCACATCGTGTGGTTTCCGAGCCCCCACTTAGTCTCCACAGCATGCGACCCCCTCGGCCTTCCAAAGCAGCAGCCACACACTCACGCTATTATCACGTCCCTTTGGGTGGGCCTTGCCTGGGCCATCTGTTCCTGCTACCAGTGATTGTCCCCAATCACCCCTGCACTAATATTGTCTCTGACTACCAGAATGCATGTCAGAAATGCGCTGTATAAGTGCAGAATGTTGAGGGAAGAATCAAAAGAAAGAAAGCAAAAAGATTGGAGGGCATCTTGATGAAAGAAATGTGGAGCCATCAGATATAGCCAATGTAGGGCTGTTTCCCATGGCTTGGTTATAAACACTATTATTTATAGAAGGGACAGAGCCCAGTTTGCAATGTCGAATGTTTTCCCAATTTGGAAGGCTTTATTTAAAAAAAAAAAAAACAAGGATGCATAAAAATCACATCTGAAATTATAGACAGGGCCTTGGAAGGAGGCCATGCATTCAGGACTCTCAGAATTGGCATTATTATTAGAACTGGGGTAAAAAAAAAATGTTACTTTCCACTCAGATAAAAGTAAATATATGGCTGAAAACTCTGGTTCCATCAACTATTACTTTCTAGAAACTGAAAAAAGAAGGCCAACTGCCAGTGGCTCATACCTATAATCCTAGTTACTTAGGGGGCTAAAATCTGAGGATTGTGGTTCAAGGCCAGAACTGGAAGAAAAGTCCATGAGATTTTCATCTCCGACTAACCAGCCAAAAGCCAGCAGTGGAGGTGTTGCTCAGATAGTAGAGTACCAGCTTTGAGCAAAAAAAAAAAAAATCAAGAACACAAAGCCTTGATTTCAAGTCCCTGTACCAGCACACACATGCACAAAAGAAAGATTAGATAAGGTATTTTTTATATGTAGTCTGCACATAAAGTTTTCCAGAAGGTAGTAATATAGTGTAATTAATATGGTAATAATATTGTTAAATGATACTGATTGCCAAGTCATTAGAAGAACTTGATAAAAAGATGGATTGTTGGGCCCCATCTAATGGTTCTTTTTATTATTATTATTGTGAAAATACCATACAGAGGGGTTACAATGACATGGGCAAGGTAATGAGTACATTTCTTATAAAGCATTGTTGCCTCCTCCTTTGTTTCCTCTTACCATCCATCCCTTCCCATCTCCCCTTCTCAAGCCCCCCACCCCCCACCCCCACGCCAAAGTTATAAAGTTCATTTTCGACATAACATCTTGTACATTTAATTGGTGCAATGGGTCCACCTGTATCCCTATTTAAACAATTTGTTGCTTTCCTTCCCCTCCACAAATTATACCGACATCAAATACAGTGAAAACAGAGGTTATACTGTGAGGGAGGGACAT